TATATGCTCATTTCTTCATTTAGTGTAACCCTTATTATTAGGCTTTAAGATAGATTATAATTTTTCAATATTATAAAAAACATTGTAGTAAATATTACACATGTTGAAAGATACCTGAGATTACTGCCTTTGGATAAATTCCTAGAAGGAAAATTATTTGGCAATAAAAATGAATTCAGATATTCAAGGCTTTTGATAGATATTACAAAATTACCCTCAAAAAGTTTATACACATTATTTATTACTGTCATCCAGACAGGGGACAGTGATTTCACCTATATCCTAATATTACTATTACTTTGGTTAAAATCTTTATTAATGTAATAGGCCAAATTTGGTTTCCCATGTTTATTTTAGTTTTTTTAAAATTTGATTACTAGTGAGGTTTGACATGGTTACAAGTGTTTTTTAATCATTTGTATTTTTAGGTAATTATGTTCTTTATTAAATGTTATATTAAGGGATCTATTTTTTAAATATCTTATTCATTAAAGCGAAAGCACTTCATCTGTCATTTGTATTGTAGTCTTTTTAATTTTGTAGATGTCTTCCACTTTTAAAAACATTTATTGTTATGAGATTAAATCTAGCATTCATTTTCTTTATAGATTGTGCGTTTGGTGTAATGCTTTACAACTCTCTATCACATTATAGAAGTATTCGTCTTCATTTTTATTAGAATTTTTTGAGATTTATTTTTTCATTTAAATATTTTCTCCACTAGAAATCTGAAATCTTAACCTAAATATCTGACTGATAAACACTCATGTGGCCTGTTTATCCAGAAGTCGAAGGGAAGAGGAAAGGAGTTGTAGTCGCATGTAGGTTGTGCCCCATCATTGTATCTTCTTCGTGTCTGTTGGCAAAGTGTGGGGCTCCATTTTTACTTATGTTGCCCTCTGTAACCTTGTCAGCCTATAACCTTTCCACCCCACTGGCCTTGTGCAATAACTTCTAGTAAACTCAGATAACTGAAGCTGCTCTTCTTCAAATACAACCAGTAAAATGAAAGGAAGTTTCACCTCTCCAAACATGAGGATGATGATGAAATCTGACCAAGGTTTCTTCAACTTACATTTTACAGACCATGATGTTAAGCAGGTGCTTAGTGTTTTCCTTTAATTTAGCTTGATCAGGGAAATATTGCCCATGCATGGTACCCACTAACATTGACTACTCTTTGCCTCTGTGGTTTGCATATACTTTAGTCGTTCTGGAGCTGTGTTGAGCATGTGCATAGGGGGTGGTGAGGAAGACAGAGAGGAAAATAGGAATAATGGAAGAGTCAAACTGGTAATGGACACAACATCTGTTTACCTAGATTTCTGTCAAACAATTCTTGAAAACGGTGGTACCCTCCAGTTCAATGTAGAATATACAAAAACACCAGTTATTCAAGCCAACTTTTCTTCAAGAGTCTCGGCATGTCTACACTGAAAGTCTAGTGAGGTAGGTTATCCTGTCCTCTCACCTTTATGATTTCCGAAAATGTTGAGGAATACCCAAAGCACAAGAGGCAACTACTTTGATATGATTCATTGATTTGTTTCCATTTTACTAAATCTCTTACTATTCTGAGGACAGTTTTAATGCATATTTATAGCAGTTTTATTGAGGTATGATTTACACACCATAAAAATCACCATTTTAAAGTGCACAATTCAGTGGTTTTTAGTATGTTCACAAAGATATGCAACCATCATGATTATGTAATTTTAGAATACTTTTATCATCCAAAAAGAAACCCAATACTCTTTAACCATTAACCACATAACCATCAATAGTTACTTCCTAAACCCAGCCTCTGACAAAAAATACTCTACATTTTGTTTCTCCCCAGAAACTAAATTTGCCTGTTCTGGACATTTCATAAGATGGAATCATATAATATGTGTCCTTTGGCTCTGTGCTCCTTCACAGGGTTCTCGTCACATCCACATTGTAACATCTACCTATATTTCATTTGTTTTTATTGCTAAAATCAAATTCAGTATATGGTTAGCCCACATTTTTTTATCCATTTATTCATTGGTGAGTATTTAGGTTGTTTTTACTTTTTGGCTATAATGAATAATGCTGTTGAACATTCATGTAAACATTCTTGTGTGGACATATGTTTTGAATTCCCTTGAGTCTGTACCTAGTAATGGAATCTCCACATCATAATTTACTCTTCACCTTTCAGAATCATGCTGTTTTTGAATGCACACATGCAATATCCCTTATTTTTCACTACATTCTTGAAAAAATTTTATCCTGGATGGGCGTGGTGGCTCATGACTATAATCCCAGCACTTTGGGAGGCCAAAGCTGGTGGATCACAAGGTGGAGAGTTCGGGACCAGGCTAGCCAACACAGTGAAACCCCATCTCTACTAAAAAATACAAAAACTAACTGGGCATAGAGGCGGGTGCCTGTGATCCCAGCTACTCAGGAGGCTGAGGCAGAAGAATCACTTGAACCCAGGAGGTGGAGGTTGCAGTGAGCTGAGATTGCGTAACTGCATGCCAGCCTGGGCAACAGAGCCAGACTCCATCACAAACAAACAAACAAACAAACAAAAAAACTTTATCCTAACTCTGATTTTCATCAAAATACAGGGATACTTTGTTTTATGGGGCTTTGCTTTATTGCACTTCAAGATATTGCATTTTTTACAACTTGAAGTTTTGTGGCAACCCTGAATTGGGCAAGTCTCAGAATAATTTTTTCAACAGCATGTGCTCACTTCATGCATCTGTGTCACACTGGTAATTCTCACAATATTACAAACTTTGTAATTGCTATTATTCATAATTACTATATGTGTTATGGTGATCTATGATCAGTGATCTTTGTTGTTCCTATGGTAATTTTTTTTGGGCGCTATGAGCCACTTCCGTATAAGACGGTGAACAATCATTAAATGTGGTGTGTTCTGTTTCAGCATCCCTAACTCTCTCCCTTTCCTCTCAGGCTTCCCTGTTCCCTGACACACAATAATATTAAAATTAGGCCAATTAATAATTCATTCCTACCTCTAATGTTCAAGTAAAGGAAGAATTGTGCATATCTCACTTTAAATCAGAAGCTAGAAATGACTAAGCTTAGTGAGGAAGGCATGTTGAAAGCCAATATAGGCCAAAAGCTAGGCCTCTTGCACTAAATACTTAGCCAAGTGTAATGCAAAGGAAAAGTTCTTAAAAAAAATCAAAGGTGCTACTCCAGTGAACACATGAATGATAAGAAAACCAAACAGCTTTATTGCAAATATGGAGAAAGTTTTAGTGATCTAGATGGATCAACCAGCCATAACATTTCCTTAAGCCAAAGCCTAATCCAGAGCAAGGCCCTAACTCTTCAATTGTATGAAGGCTGAGAGATGAAGAAGCTGAAAAAAACGTTCAAAGCTAGCAGAGGGTAGTCCATGAAGTCGAAGGAAAGAAGCCATTGTGATAACATAAAAGTACAAAGTGAAACGGTGAGTGCCAATGGAGAAGATGCAGCAAGCTATTCAAGTGTATGTCTAACAGGCTTCTACTAGAAGAAGGTATTACAGGTAGAAAGAAGTCAATGCCTGGCTTCAAAGCTTCAAAGAACAGGCTGACTCTCTTGTTAGGGAATGACGCAGCTGGTGCCTTTAAGTTGAAGCAAACGCTTATTTATCATTCAGAGAATCTTGTGTCTTAAGAATTGTACTAAATCTACTCTGCCTGTGCTCCATAAGTGTAACAAAAAAGCCTGGATGATAGCACATCTGTTTACAGCATGTTGATACCTACAGCTCAGAAAAAAAAAAGATTCCTTTCAAAATATCACTGCCCATTGACAATGTGCCTGGTCATTCAAGAGCTCTAAAGGGCATTAATGTTATTTTCATGCCTGCTAATGATATTCATTCTGTAGCCTATGGGACAAGAAGTAATAGCAACTTTTAAGTCTTATTATTTAATAAATACATTTTATGAGACTATAGATGCCATAGATAGTGATTCCTCTGATGGGTTTGGGCAAAGTAAATTGAAAATCTGTAAAGGATCCACCATTCTAGATGTTATTAAGGACATTAATGATTTGTGGGAGGACGCTAAGATATAAACATTAAAAGGAAATTGGAATAAGTTGATTCCAACTCCCATGGATGACTATGAAGGGTTTAAGACTTCAGTGATAAAAAGAACTGCAGATGTGGTGGAAATAGTGAGAGAATTAGAATTAAAAGTGGAGCCGAAAATTTCTACTGAATTGCTACAATCTAGTGGTAACTTAAATGGACGAGGCGTTGCTTCTGATTGATAAGCAAAGAAAGTGGTTTCTTTAGATAGAGTCTTCTCTTGATGAAGATGCTATGAACATTGTTGAAATGACAGCAAAGGATTTAGAATATTACATAAGTTTAGTTGATAAAGGAGCATCAGGCTGGAGAGTGGTGCTACCCAAAGAATTATTGTATAGACTTTTAAAAAAGGAAAGTTCTCATTATTCCCCTGTCGTGGGGTGGGGGGCTAGGGGAGGGATAGCAGGAGGTGGGCAGCTAGGAAAGGGATAGCATTAGGAGAAATACCTAATGTAGATGACTGGGTGATGGATGCAGCAAACCACCAAGGCACGTGTATACCTATATAACAAACCTGCACATTCTGCACCTGTACCTCAGAACTTAAAGTATAATAAAAAGAAAGAAGAAAATTAAGTTGAGTGCACCAAAGGTAAATATAGATGAAAAGAAAGGGAATTCAGAAAAATTTACTCAGGTAATTGTCTTTTTTTTTTTTTTTTTACTTTAAAGCTGTGTAGTGTAAACTTCAAATTTCTGAGTATAAAGATGGTTAGAAGGCACGGAAGATAAGTTCCGCCCATTGCCTCACACATAGTAGTCCCTTAACAAGTTGATGATTCTATGAACATGTTACCTTTTGTAGCTGAAGCTAAAAATCTGTTTATGTTTATTATTATTATTTTTTAATGTGCCTTTCTTGGCAGGCAAATTTTTAAGTCTTTATTTCTTTGTTTCCATCCAGGCCTCTTATGTGAGGAGCTAAAGAGGAAATAAAATATACAGGATGAAAAGATGGCAATGTTGCCTCCCCCAGGACCTCAGAGCTTTGTCCACTTCACAAAACAATCTCTTGTCCTCATTGAACAACGTATTGCTGAAGGAAAATCAAAGGAACCCAAAGAAGAAAAGAAAGATGATGACGAAGAAGGCCCAAAGCCAAGCAGCGACTTGGAAGCTGGCAAACAGCTGCCCTTCATCTATGGGGACATTCCTCCCAGCCTTGTGTCAGAACCCCTGGAGGACCTGGACCCCTACTATGCAGACAAAAAGGTAAGTTTATTTTGGCTTCGGTGGTCTGTTTCTGTTGGCTTCCTTCTGGATAAAAACTATTTTAAATTGAGATTAGTGAAATATGGTGAATAACCATTATCATGACCAGAATGTTAAATTAAATATATATACATGTAGGATATTAATAATATATAATTTTTCTAATATTTCATTGAAACTGGTTTTGGTATTGAAATTGTTTAACATAATTTTTAGTTTAACACAGCATAAATTGTTTAGTATAATTGTTTAGCATAACTTTTTTGGATATGACACAGTTATCTACCATATTTTATAGTTATACCTATTTTTTCTTGCTAATAATTAACTCTCATGTGTATGTAGACCCAAAAATTCCTTAAAAGTTTTTAATGCAAATGAAAATTGCTAATTTAACATTTTAAATACCAAGCTAATTTTTTATTAAAATTCCAAGTGCAAGGTAACTTAATCTTGCCAAGACTGTAGTATGTTGTGATTTTTCATGTTAGCTCAGACGACCTCTGGTTCATAAAGTCTCCCTGATAATTTTGACAGTCATGTGACCCTGTTCCCTCTTTACTCTCATTCTTCCCCATTTGTATTTTTCTGTATGATAACTGTCACATCTTGCCTTATATTAGACTTACTTTATTCTTTTTTCTAGGAAATTCCTTAAATAAAAAACTCATACCTTATTTTTTTTCAAACTCCTTTTCATTACCTCTTATGATATAGTTTCTCACCACACATGTATTAGTCCATTTTTAAACTGCTATAAAGATGTACCTGAGACTGGGCAATTTACAAAGAAAAGAGATTGAATTTACTCACAGATCTGAATGGCAGGGGAGAACTCAGGAAACTTACAATCATGGCTGAAGGAGAAAGGAAAGCGAGGCACATCTTATATGGCACAGGAGAGAGAGAAAGAGTATACTTTTAAACTCATTAGATCTCATGAGAACTCACTATCATGAGAATAGCATGGGAGAAACCGCCCCCATGACCAATCATTTCCCACCAGGTCCCTCCTCTGACATGTGAGGATTATAATTCAAAATTAGATTTGGGCAGGGACACAGAGGCAAAGCATATGAACACAACTGCAGAAAGAATGAATGAATAATTTTTTTAAAATACAATGTACTGAGATTTAAGACAAAAGTGGTTGTATTTGAAGACTAGGTATTGATTTTAAAATAATTTTCTATGTAAAAGTGAATTTTATGTTAAATTACATTTAGATAGAACTGGCATAGTGAAAAGGAACAGGAAAATAAAGGGACACCTGAAAATAATGGACTCTGGTTTGTTTTCTTAAGAGAACACTGCCACATACAAACAAAAAGTCTGACCCACAAGCCTACCTCCCAAATAGAGTGAGAAATGCTTATAGCCAGAAATCCACTGATAACACTATATAAAACTTAGAAAATCAATGTCCCTCAGGTAACACAAGTCATCTTCCTGCCATTGGCAGAAAAATGAGACAGGGATTTGAACTTTGTCTTTCTGATTTCTAAGCCAATGCTTTAAGTTGTTTAATATTTTGTTGTTATTGCTGTTTGTTTTTATTTCTTAACTGAATACTGAAGCTATGGAAAAGGACACTTGTGCAGTGTCTACAATAACATTAAGAATATTTGGTTCAATTCGTAACATTTTTTAAATTACCATAGTTAGTAAACAAGGTAGCCCTTTCAGTCCCTTTTTTAAAGCTAATAGTAGTAGTACAAATAAAATAAAGAAATTGAATTGAATAATTGGAAGGATTCTTCCAACTCTGACATTCGTTAAACTTATGAAAATATTATTTGAAAGAACTCATATTTTGGAACACGTGCTGCTAACCATGGAAATTGCCAGCAAGTATTAAAATTCTCAAGGTTTTATCATTAAAACTCAGAGATGGCTAGTTTCTATTTGGCTTTCTTAAAATTCAATGTAATGGAAGTGAAAGAAATTGTGCTTTAAACTAACTTCAATAGCCACAGTTATTTTTACTGTTGAAATAAAGTGAAAAATATAAAACACAGTATTCTGAAAGCTCTAAGCACTGCATGCTAACAAATAGCTCAATTTTTAAATTTACCATGAAGAAATGGACTTGCAGTTAATTGGCCAAGGTGACATTGGTAGATGCATTGATGACATTGGAATCACATTGCTTGAGTGTGATGGCAATGCTTCTTCAACCTAATACTACCATGTAGAAAGGTAAACTGCTGAAACTGATGTGAAAAATTGATATTTTGGATTCTCAGTTTAATCCTGTTTCCTTTTTTCTCCTGCAGACTTTCATAGTATTGAACAAAGGGAAAACAATCTTCCGTTTCAATGCCGCGCCTGCTTTATATATGCTTTCTCCTTTCAGTCCTCTAAGAAGAATATCTATTAAGATTTTAGTACACTCATATCCTTCTTCAAATGATTACATCCAGTAGTACTTTAAGGTGTAAATTTTGCTATTTTATTCAAATATCGATGTTAGGTCTTTTGCACCTTGAAAGATTCTGGTTTTCGTTTATTTATTTCAAAATTATTAATATAATTTGTCATGGGTCTCAGAGAAGACTGGGACAGTGGCCATATTAAGATTTTAGGATATGTTACTTTCACTTATTGCTTTCTTGTTCAAAGAGACAAAATAGTCTACAGGCTCATTTATAATTATTTTCTAAGAAAAAGTTGTAAGCATTTCAACAAGTGTCATCCTCAGATATTTCAAGTTCCCACTGTTGTCTTTTATGTTCCTTGATTCTAAGCTACCTTATTCAGCATGCTCATCATGTGCACTATTCTGACAAACTGCATATTTATGACCTTGTATAACCCGCCGGAGTGGACCAAAAATGTCGAGTAAGTGGGTATAAGTACATTTTAACATAGTTTTGATATTATCATTTCATCCTGTCCTTTTCCTGCTGGGAAGTTACTGCATTTATAAGGATGGGGAATCTTTGTCTTCCAATGCTGTATACTTGCTTTTATTTCGTTCTTTTTCTCCTGTATGGTATTAATCTCCTAGATTAGAAAAATTAGATGCTACAGTGTTTTCTAGAAGAATGAATTTGTCAGCCGCTCCATCCTCTTCTTAAACATGTTACATATATCTTATTCTTGGGTTGTATTTTTTATAATTATGTGGGTGTATTTTTAAATAATTGTTTTGGTGTATTTTTGATAGGAGCAATGTAGGAATTTTTTAGGCAGATTTGATACCTATATTCTTAGATATTTCAAGTACCTCTTCTTTCGGGGAGTATTTCTGATGTTGACATTTTACTATTTTTGATAGACCTATTGTAGTTTAATACAGTGTGTCCGCAAACCAACAGCCATCCGCCATAGATATCTTTCATTAGTTAATGAGAGAAAATAAATTATAAAGATTTACATGGTAGTTGTATTCTTTTCACATCTAGTATCTCAATGGAATTTTGTGTTTAGGTACACTTTTACTGGAATATATACTTTTGAATCACTTGTAAAAATCCTTGCAAGAGGCTTCTGTGTTGGAGAATTCACTTTTCTTCGTGACCCATGGAACTGGCTGGATTTTGTCGTCATTGTTTTTGCGTAAGTACTTTCAGCTTTTTGAAATGGCAAACTCATGAAAATCTCAGACAGCACAGTGTTCCAATAAAAGCAAACCTCTGGGGTCTGATTTTTCCAGAATGGAATGTCTATATTTAAAGGAAAATGGAAGCTATTTGAAAGCTAGTCATTGATAGGCAAATACTAAATTTTTCAAAAAGACTATCTCCTACTCAAAGGTATGTGACATCATTAAGATGGATTATCTTCCTCCATGCTCAGCACTTGGATGGATAGTCTGTGCAGTGCCAATTAGGTTTACACTTTTTCCAAGTTCTTATTTAAAAATAAATAAACCTGTAAGAAGCACACAAAAACCTCAGGCCTTTAAATACAAGTATAGTGCTCTTTACATTAGCTTGCATTATTCAATTATTTTATATTTTGTATTAAAATATAAAAGTATATATTTGTAAAAGAGCTGCCACTATTTACTAAGCCTAATGTTAGTGCATTGTATATGCATTACACATGCATTCAGTTTATTTTTAAGGAAAATATTATAATATAATTTTAATATATTCATAATTGTTACTTTTTTCCCATATTTATCAGAAAATATGATTTTTTTAAATCTCAAAACTAGATATGGCATTTTCCATCAATGGCTTTGAGTTATCAAAGTAGTCCAGGTTCATTGGAGCCACATAGACAATACAAAAGGGTCTTAGGATTGCTAATATTCAATACCCTTGACCCTGCCTAACTCCTTTTCCATCAGGATCCCTCTATTTGAAGTCACACATGATGGGGCAGTTCCATCTGCTACCTGCTGCTAAGAAAACATTGTGCAGAGAAGGCTACCTCTCCTCATAGGTCTTCTTTTTTTCCTCTTGATATAATTCAAATACTATAAAATTCACCATTTTACAGTATACAATTCAATGTTTTTCAGTATATCGACAAACTTGTGCAACATCACCGCTACCTAATTAGAGAAAATGTTATCACCCCAGATAAAAACTGTGGCAGTCCCTTCCATTTCCTTCTCTCTCTGGCCCCTTAGAAACCAATCATCTATGTTTTATCTCTATGGAATTGTCTATTTGGATATTTTTTATGAGTGGAAATATCAAACAGTATGCAGTCTTTTGTGTCTGACACTTAGCATACTGTTTTCAAAGTTTTATATGAAATTAAAAATCTAAATTACCATACTTCTAAAAATTGAATCACTTAATTATCTATTTACACATTTAAGAGTATGAATCCACATTAACAATATATAATATCTGTATTTTGTTTGCATCAAATGAGTCAATTCAATACTAATTAAGTTAGTTATGATAGAAAAAAAGACTTGCAGAACTATACACTTAAAAAAGAAGTTCCAAACGTAGAAAATACCTTGACTAAAGGCTCAGGTAAGTATCACAGTCTCTTTCTAAATTCTGAATAATTCTGATTTAATTCTACAGGTATTTAACAGAATTTGTAAACCTAGGCAATGTTTCAGCTCTTCGAACTTTCAGAGTATTGAGAGCTTTGAAAACTATTTCTGTAATCCCAGGTAAGAGGTAATTGGTGTGAAGCATTAGGCTACTCATAACTCCAACTATATGGGAGTTGTTCTTTGTTCGTTTGTGTGTGTGTTGTCACTGTGTTTGTGTGTGAACTCCCCTATTACAGATATGTGACAGAGTTTGTGGACCTGGGCAATGTCTCAGCGTTGAGAACATTCAGAGTTCTCCGAGCACTGAAAACAATTTCAGTCATTCCAGGTGAGAGTGGGGTTAAACACCAGGGCTGACTTTGAACTTTTGGAAGAAAGACATAAAAAACACACCTCTCTTTTATGCCATTTTAATTAAATTTGATTTCTTCTGTTTTCCACAATCATTATCAAAAGTCAGCCTTTGAGTTTAATCAGTTGCATGAGTCTTTTAGGATGAAGATGACCACTTGGCTCACATCTCAACTTGAAATCTTCCTGCCTGACTGAGGGCTTGTTTTTCCATTTACTTATACAGGAAGGAAAATTTCAATTTATTTTAATCAATTTTAAAATAGTTAAGAAAGAGATCATAAATATCAGCATGGGGATATTGCATGACACATCGTTTTATATTTTTTTTCTCAGCAAACCATTTCCTTATTGAAAATTACTTTATTCAAGATGTCACTATATGCTGCAATTTGTTTTGGTGCCATTTATAGAGAGGTGGTTTGTTTGACAAGCATTAGAACTTATAAAAATTATTTTTACAAGTGATTTGAATAGTCAAATTATTCATTTTGACAACCTGGGTATTCTTTGAGAATATGTTACATTTTTAATCATTTGCTGTAATATATAAAAACAAAGTATACATAAAATAGCATACCCATGAGGCTTTTTTAAAAATTATGCAACTTCAGATCATTAGTTTGATATAATGCATGCACTTCTAGGAAAGCTCGTGTTTTTCGTTTCTATTCAGAGGCTTTATGAATTATAAACACATTTTTCTTCAATTTTCAGGCCTGAAGACAATTGTGGGGGCTTTAATCCAGTCAGTGAAGAAGCTTTCTGATGTCATGATCCTGACTGTGTTCTGTCTGAGTGTGTTTGCACTAATTGGACTACAGCTGTTCATGGGCAACCTGAAACATAAATGTTTTCGGGATTCACTTGAAAGTAATGAAACGCTAAAAAGCATAATGGATACCCTAGAGGATGAAGAAGACTTCAGAAGTAAGAATGTCCCTGCATTTGTTAAGAGATTGAAATAATGCTAAAAACATTGCTCTCTTTTAACAATGAAATGTTGCTTTCACTCTAATCAATTCAAAGCTATTCAAATGTATAGAAAGTTGCTACAGTGTGAATTTGGATCATGTTACATACGGTTTTTATAAACCATCCTGGTTCTAAGCTAACTACCAGTAATGGCAAAAAGAACATGAGATAGTTCCATAATTCCCAATTTCTATATCATAAGAATCAATTTTCTCTACAGAAATAAATGTAGCTTTGAATTAATAACATTAGCCATTACATTTAACAATATGATAGATTATATATTTTATATAATTTTATTATATAGTACATACTTATATTTGTTATATATAATGTGATATATTTATTATGATAGATTTTTATACTTAATAGATTGTACTTATAACTATAACATCTTACAGTTCTATTAATCATATATATTATCAAATATTAAGATAATATCTATATCTTGATAGTATTCCTAAAGATTTGTACAAAGCAAAATCATTTACTCAGTTTTATTAACACCCACTTTATAACCAATGATGAGTTTCTCAGCTGTTTTTAATGGCTTCCTTCAATATAAGCTGATGGCGTTACATCAAAGTTTAGTTCAGTAGAATTATTTCTGTAGGTACCACATGAGATAACCTGTATGTACCCTCAGAAGTCTGCTTAATTCAGAGTTATCAATTAGAGTTTCTTACAGAAAGAATGAACTGCATGTTCTCTAAACAATTATCTCCTAGCACAGTACCTCTCACTGGAACAGTTTATGAATACTGGATGAAAATAAGATCAAGATTGTACGTTCTGATGTTGTCCACATGAATACATAAACCTTAATAGATAATTTGACCCAGGTGTGGATGGAAGTCATGAAATCTTTCAAATATATGTGCTGTTGCCAAAATGAAATGAGGGAGGAAAGGTCAGGATTCTCCTTAGAGAATAAAAAGTAATATACATGATTTTCTTTTTTATTTTACCAGATATGTTCTTTCTCACTCACTGGGACAAATAAAATCAAATAACACCCCAGCCAACATAGTAAAAGATCATAAATAAAACGACAGAAAAAAACAGAAACCTTAACAAGAAAACTGCAAGTTTTGAAGTAAAATATTTAACATATATATTTTTACTACCACTATTTGATGTGGAATGTAGCATATTTTCTCTTCCTTTTTATCTTTATCCACTTTTCCAGTTTCTGATTGTTATAAATATGATTTGAATTTTATTTCCAATTTCTGGAGAATTTTATTTCTTAATTTATATGCTGTAAAATTAATATATCTGATGAGTAATTTACATTTAATATTGTAGATTACCACACTTATTTAAACTTAACTTTTCTCACTAAGATCAGTCCTTTTATTCCAAGTCTTAGACCTATTTCTGGGTTTATACTATGAATGGTTGTTTTAACCTTTGTTAAAAGAAAAACTTTCAACAAATTAAATTTAGAAGCTTATTTCAGCAAGGAATAGTATTTATTGCTGAAATAAGATAATAATAATGATTTAGGCAGCACTCAGAACCAAGAGAAGTTCAGAGAGTTCAACTCAGCAACATGATCAGGGTTATTTATAGATAGAAAAAGGGAATGACACACAGAAACAGCTTGATTGTGTATAGCACGGCATTTGCCTTATGTGGACATTGTCTGGTAAGTCAGCAGGCTGTGGTTGGCTGAAGCTCAGCTGCTGTGATTGGTCAAGACAGCTACTTGTTAAAAGAATATACTAATAAATTATAATGCAGTTTGTTTACATATGAAGTTAGATTGCAGTTCTCTCCATGCAGAGACAGCCTTTAATCAAATTTAATATAATTCATCACTTTCTGGAATGGCTTCATGTATTTTTTTTCCTAAAAAATAATAGGAAGAGCCCTTGAGTTATGCAAATTATCTTTATGTTATCTTTAAACATGAGTAAATTACAGTTAGCTAATAATGAGTCATATACCACAATCCTCTCTTCAAAATCTGTATATTATTCTTTATTTTCTTCTGAAATGTAGTTTTATCAAAGAGGTGTTTAAATCAAGTCTCAAATTTGCTTTGTTTTCTACATCATAGAAGCCATTTTTGATGCATAATTGATTCAAACTTTCATTGATTGGTATGTTTATTACATGGTTTCCCTGAGCTATAGCAATAAACAACAGCCTCAGCCCCTGCTTTCACAGAGCTTATCATCTAGTGGGAATGAAAAAAATGCTTAAGGGAGAACAGACAAATAAATTAAAAATATCTCAATGTATAATAAATGCCATGCAAAAGAAGTGAGTCTCAGGTGCTGAGATATGAACTAGATGAGAAGACATCTCTGAGGTGATGGCTTTTAATCTGAGATCTAAAAGATAGTAAGAAGCCACAAAATAGTGTAAGTGTGGGTGTGAGTCTGCTTATGGAGGGTGCTACTTTAGTTAGGAGGAATAGCATGGGCAAAGGCCCTGAATAAAGGAAGGGTATGGGTTTAAAGAATGGAAAAATAGCACTGTGGTTTAGTAAGAGAAAGGAAGAATGGCAACAGAGAAAGTAGCAGAAAAAACAGGGGTCATATCATGCAGAACATTTCAGTCCATGGGAAGGAGTTTGTATTTTATTTTAAATGCTGTAGTTTTTATTGCTGTCCATCATGTGGACAAAGTGACTAAGCAAGGGTAGACGGTAGATGGGAATAAGGAAGACCAGTTGAAGATTTCCTCTCCCATCTAGGCAAGAGAAAATGAAGGTTTCATCTAGAGTGATGGCAGAGAAGTGAAAAGGAAATAGATAAGCTCAAGACACAAAGTCTGTAGAGCTTGCTGATGGATTCAAGAAGAGAGGAAGCATCAAGTATGACTTCTCAGTTTCTGCCTGCAGTAACTGGATAGGTGCTGATGGTTTATAAGGAAATGGTGGACATGTTTGTAGTGGGGGGTCACTATTATCTAGCTAAAATTAAAATGAGATGCCTTTGAGATGTCCAGGTGAATAATATAGACAATTGGAGATTTAAGCATAGAAATCGGAGGGCTTGCTGGGTTTGGAGATAATAAATTCCAGAGCAATCAGGAAAAAGAAAGGACACACACACACACACACACACACACACACACACACACGCCCGCCCCTCTACCTCTGAACATCTCTGATATTTTTAAGTGAGTAGAGAATGGGTGACCTGGTGTTTAAAGCTATCTGTTGCTGAGACCTACAACACTGATGTTTAGAATTCAAGTAGAAAAGATGGTCTAGAAAAGAACACAGAGAAAGAGCTAAAAAGTGCTAGTAAAGTAAGAAGCAAAGATATAAATAATGAAGCCAAGAGAAGAAAACATATTGTAGAAATGGGAGTGATTGTGTAGAATCATGCTGCAAGATCAAGGATGAAGGATGATGAAGAAAGAAATACGCATTAGGTTAAGTAACAAGGAAGTCACCAGAGAATTTCTTGAGAAAATTTCAGGAAGTGGTAAGGGTTCAAGGTCAGAATAAAATGCATACTGGGGTGAAAATAAGAGGTCAGAAAGAAGATAATATGTATAGACAAGTGTCCCAAGAAATTTGGCTATTAAGAGAAGCAGAATAATGTGGCAACGGTTGGCATTTTTTAAAAATATCAATTTTTTTAGGGATGTTTTGCTAGTTATAATGAATGAGTAGTTACATATGAATGAATTCAGGAGAGACAGGGAGAAGTCAAGTCCTTGTGAAAGTGAAAGAGTAAAGGGGAGAGACAGCTCCACTGAAACAGGAGGAAAGATAGAGGGGAAGGCTGCAGAGTTATCAAAAAATGATTGAGTTCAAATGCAATGGTTTTTATTTCCTCAAAGTATAAGATGAGATCATTGCCTGAGGGTGCAAATGAGGAAGGGAAAATTCTACAGAAGATTTGACAAGAATGCATTATATATATGGTCATCTTAGGGAATGAGAAATTGAGGGTATTCTGAGTGCCAATTTGATGTTGGAGATTATTTACTTAAAATATAACCATTCACTTTGTTATAAGAGCCTCTTCACCAACATTCAGCCATTTGGGAGCCAGCATGGAAAAGACGGATGCTAGAATATGTGTAGATTTTGGTTCTGCCAGGTTAGGGACTGATTATAACGAATGCCTATGGATACAGGCTGGACAGAGTGACAAGAGGCTGAGTTGGTGGATAGATCATGAGAAAGTGGTAAGGCAAATGAATTGGCAATCTTAAAAAGATCAAAGAATTGTCATGGTAAAGGCAGCCTACATAGAGAATCTCAGCATAACCTAAAAGCGTTTTCCAGTGCCTATAGCAAAGCATTTTCCGAAATGTCTTTCAAAATTCATGACCAAATGAATTAACTCACTGTCTGGGCTCCTTCTGAAAAACATACAATTTGTGGATTTCCTTTGGTGTTGCTATCTACTTTAATGCTTATCAAATACCCTTTTTGCTGCTACAGTTGAAAGTGGGTTTCATGTGCAGTGTGTAGCTAAATGTGCAGTATTACGGAGCAATATACTGTGGTTGTGTTGGGCTAAAATAGGATATTCTCTTCTTCCTATTTTCTGAATATTTGAAAATTTAATAGAGAAAGTTTTGGAAAAAAACCCACAATATTGGTCTTTACTACTAACAAGACTTTTCCTATCCCCTTCACCTACAGCTGTTTTCTTGTGAGAACTATATTTGCCAGACTGTAGCATATCATATGCAGGCCCTCTGCCCAGACCTGATCCCCTGCCGTAGTTTTCTCCGAGTTGTATTATTCACCCTTGGTTGGGGATATATCCTTCACTTCCATAAGCCCAAGATATACACAGTTGTCGTAAGTTGTCTTTCTGAGCAAGGGCAAAATTATCAGGGTTTTTGGCCCTTTTTCTACATTAATCTTGAAGTAAAAACTCACCCAGAATCTTCATTAGATTTAATATCAATTCTGTATTTTTGTCATACCAATTTTCGTTTTCCCCCATATGTATTTTACTGAGAAATTGGCA